AAGTTTGGTTGATTAATGTCTGCCAAAAGAGATCTAAGAGCGCTCTTACATAGGTAGATAATCCCTATTCTAGCTTATTCAAAACAAAAGGAGTTCCAGAGTGAGGCTTTCCTGAGAGTGAGTGAACAAGCTGGTAAAAAGAGCTTGTTCAAAAGGGAATGTTCTTACTTTCCAGTCTCTGTTTGGGGGAATGAAATGTACAGTGAAGGGGGAAAGCGGCTGCTGGCCAAAGAGCAGCTTCTTCAAGTCTAAAGAGCTCAGAGACTGGAGAACTTGGAAAAACTTTGTGTGCTGTGCGGTTTGGAATTTTTTTCCCCTGCTTCTTGTTATGTGACTTTCATTGACCCAGAAATCTTGGGGTTGTATATTTGTGTGTGTGTGTATATATACACTGCGTGTGGACTGAACCACCCCCCACCACCCAGACATGGTGGTGAAAACTACAGATGAGAGACTGTTACTACTGATTTTGTATGTGTTGCAGCTTTGGTGGCTGAAAAACACAATACATCCAAACTCAATGGTTTCAAAGCAACAGGATTTATTTTACTCATGGATCTGCATTGTGGACAAGGCTCATCAGGGGCAGCTTGTTTCGGCTCTGCCTATTGTCACTGAGGGCTGGGGCTGGAATCATCTCTCTGGTCCACTCGCGTGGCACCTGGGCTGGGAGGACCAGAAGAGCTGATGGTGGGAGTAGGTGGGAGCAAGTGGGTAACTCTTTATGTGGTCTCTCTGTACGGTCTCTCCAGCTCTACAAGGTCACTGTGGGCTCTAGAGTCATGTGTCAAGAGCAGCAGGGAGTGCACACTGGGCAAATGCCATCTTGGCTCTTGATCTTGCCTCTAAAGTCCTGCAGTATTACTCCCGCTGTGTTCTTTCGTGTGAGGACATTGCAATGGCCCATTTGGTTCAAGGGAAGGGGAACATAGGCCCCACTGCTTGATGGAGGAGTGTCTGTGTCTCACTTATTGTAAGAGTAGCATGTGGGATGGGCTGTGTTGGTGGGGCTGTTTTTGGAAAATATAATGTGCCACGTTTGTTGATTCTACTCTTGCTGAATAGGTTCATTCAGGGCCTGGGTAGTTTGTTGAGTCCCTGTATCATCATGATTAGTGTGATTTATGAATTTGCAGATGTTAAAAAAGCTAAGTTTACACAGTTTTTGGGTGGAACCTGAACTGAGTTTACTCAGAGCCATGTGAATATATGATGGGGAGGGGCTGGCAAAGCCTTACCTCATCATGGAGGAATAATCCATAGATTATTTTTTTTCTTTCAAGAAGGAACAGGCTCTTTGTCTTTGTTCAGAAGCCTAGGCAATCTCACAAAGCATGTAGTTACTGTTAAGTTTCTTTGACGATTGTTTTATGGGGCCTAAAATGTTCTGCACTCTTGGGAACAAGACAGACAAGGCTCTGCTCTTACGAAACTCAGATTCATGTGGAGAAGACAGATCCATTTAAACAAGTAGATGGATAGAAATTTCAGATAGTTGTAAGATTCGTAGGTAAACAGATGAGAGAGCCTGGGGTCAGTAGTAGTTGCCATGATGTTTTTGAGCCTAGTTAGTTGGGCAGTGGAGTCATCAGAAAAGTTATCTGTGGAGTTTCATGTAGCCTTCTTCTCAGGCTCCCCATGTGTGTACTCCCTTCATAACTGAGAGAAAATTATCAAGGAATGGTTAGGGGAAGTGTGGGCTTGCTTATTCACATTCTAGAATAACAGTTGGATTTAGCCACCCCTTTAATATCTGTTCTGCAAGTTTCTTCCCTTCTGTTCCCCCTCTAAGAAAAGGTTCAATAGAGGTAATTTAGGAAGATAAAAAGAAATGTTACTTTCACACAGTAGATAGCAAACACATGTAATTCATTTATTTTCCTTGAGACTGAAAGTGAAAAGTCATAAGAATAAATTTGTGAAAACTGGATCCGTAATAGATTATTTAGGCAAGTTAGTAGTGTTAGGATATCTCTCTTACCACATGACGATATACGAGGGCCTCTGTGTGGTTTTCCTCTCACCATCTTATCCCCATCACATGGTAAGTATTAGTTGTGTGCCTTCTTTGTGCCCATCTCTGGGGTTGAAGGATAACAGCAGTAATCAGGGTCCCTGTGTTCATGGAGGCAAACAACAACAACAACAAAAAACGATGAGGCAAAGTAACTGTAAGCCAGGAAAGAAGCAAATCAGGGACTGACTTTAGGTGAGGCTTTAAGGAAGGGCCCTGAGGCTGTAATCAGTGCTGTCAGTTATTGTGGTGCTAAGCCAGTTGCCTGGGCTGGAAGACACGTTGGGCCAAATTCAGGACCTCGTTGGCACCATGCTTACACTGTAGTTGAGGACAGATTGGGTGAGAGCTGGGGGATCCTGTGGTTTCTGCAGTGTATTGAGTCCTTGAAGTTTAATTAGAACCTTTGCCCTGGTCTGAGTGGTTCAGGGTGACTCTTCAGTGACATCGAGTGAGGGCACCTCTTCAGAGCTTCTCTTGCTGTGAGCCCAGGTCTGATGGAAATTGTTGCTTTGCTTGAAGCTTATCCCGTGAATGCTAGGGAGCAAGAGTTTTCAAAAGCTTGACTTCATCTTGGCCTCCTGGTTTTGGTTTCCCAGTTTTCCTTAGTATTTTGTTGGAGAGTAGTTGCTAAGTGACAGGTTCCTCTGGCTGGAGCAAAGGAGATGGCCAAAGGGTGTGAGTCCTGTGAAGGATGACTTCTAGGAACAAAAATCCAGAGAGAGAGTGTTTCATTTTCAGAGGGAGGTACTGTTGCAGAATTTCCCACGTCCGTTGTGTCTACCTCTTGCCGTCTCTCTTATGACCTCTGCTATTGGTTTTGGGATTCCTAGACTTTTGCTGGCTTGGTTAGAGCCATGCAAACCTCAAGTCTGGTGGTAATTACCGGAGTGAGGTGGCCTGGTGTGTGAAAGTACATTTACCCTGGTAGAACATTGTAGAACTCTTCAAGGGGGGAGCAGACCTTTAAATGGGAACATTTGTTTCAGATTATTTTGATTTGTGTTAATGGGTTGGTTCCAAAGTCATGACTTGCTTTGGGAAATCTAATGGAGAACACTTGTGGGGTGTTACGTGTTTGCTTTTTTTATTTTGTTTTTAAGCGATATGTCCTCTGCATTCTTCTTTGGTCAGGCTTTCCAGGTGGTGATAGTGGTAAAGAACCTGCCTGCTGGTGCAGGAGACTTAAGAGACATGGGTTCAATCCCTGAGTCATGAAGACCCCCTGGAGGAGGGCATGGCAACGTGCTCTAGTATTCTTTCCTGGAGAATCCCATGGACAGGAGCCTGGCAGTCTATATATAGTTCATGGGGTTGCAGAATCGGATGCTACTGAAATGGATTAGCACATATGCATGTTTCTTTGGTCACCTCTCCTTATTCTAGAGACACTTTACTAACATTTCTGGAATCTTGTTCTCTTTGAAGAAGGCATCTTTTCTTGAGATTGTTCTTGAGAAGATAGGAGTGTGGAATGCTCTGGGTATGTTGGTCTATGGGATAAAAGGTTCGTGGTCACATCCTCTTTTCCCTTACCTGTTAATTCCTCACCTCACATGTATTTTGTGTTATTTAAACCCCTGTCTTGTGTGCTTATGAGCATAGCTGTTGCTTGGCTTAGTGGGGTTTATTTTGGGTTCAGTACCTAGCATAAAAAGTATTTTGGATTAGGGTAGAGTGAATAAGTAAGTCCCTCACTTTCTGGAAGGACTAGGAAAAAACCTGTCTAGAGGCCTTATGGGTGGAACCCAATATTTTATGTGAAAACACATAGTAGGATGAGCATGGAAATTAGACAGCTCTCTTTGTCACTTACTAGCCCTATGACCTTAGACAGGCTGTTTAACCTTTTCGGTGCCAATTTCCCATCTGTATAATGGGGATGGGAATTTTCTCAAAATTCCATTTTGAGACTTAGATGAGATAATATATGTAAGAGACAGCATAGAGTGTAAATATTTAATAAATAAATGGCAGCTGTTACTGTAAATAGTTATTTTCTGTGTGGGGACTTCATCGATGGTGTTAGAGATGGTATATTCTGACTGTGAAGAGTGGGTCCAACTCATAAAAATTATCATTCTTGGAGAATCACATCAGTTAGACGTGCTTTTTGGTAGGGATGAAGGGCCTGTGAGTCAGAGGTCTCTCAAACTTTTATCCTCCCAAAACCTTATCCACCAAAATCCTGGCCTTTTCATCTGTTTGCATATCTGTCTCAGGTGGCCCTGCCTCACCTTTGAGAACTTCTTATACTTATTTTCTGTTTTTATTTTCTGTATCTAGAGAAGCCTGCCATGAATATTCCCCACCTCCTGTAATTACCCTGGAGGTTTCCAAGACCTCTCTGCACCTCGGATGATGTCGAATAGTTGGCTCTGGGACCTAGGCTTGCTCCCAAGTCTTGCTGGCTGCCACTACTGGCTTCCCAAGCAGGCAGCTGCGGGGGAGAGTGTGATCACTTCTGGGAGCCACAGTGAGGCCTCTCTCACCAGCATCTGAGCAGAGTTCAGGGATGCAGGGAGTTGGGCTCACCGAAGCAATCTGGGGTTCATTGACATAAAGATGGCACCTTTGATCACTGGGCTTCTGTGATATCTCAGTTGATACAGAATCTGCCTGCAGTGTGGGAGACCCTGGTTTGATCCCTGGATTGGGAAGATCCCCTGGAGAAGGGAAAGGCTACCCACTCCAGTATTCTAGCATGGAGGATTCCATGGACTGTACAGTCCATGGGGTCGCAAAGAGTTGGACACGACTGAGCGACTTTCACTTTTAATCACTAGGACATGTGATTTCATTAGATTTTACTAATTACAATGATGCCTACCATTCATGAATGCTTGCTACATGCCAAATGTGCATGGAGTAGTCATTTATAACCCTCATTTTCCCAGCAAGGAAGTTGGGGCTTTTGGTACTGATGTAACATACCCAGCTTTCTGTATACTTCCTTATGACGTCTTGTTTCTTTCCTGATGTCTAGAAAATTTCTCAGTGTCAGTGTGTGAAGACAGACAGGATGGGTGTAGTGGAAAGAGTGTTGAACTGTAAGTCACATTCTGACCCCTCCCCTTTTCCCTTCCCCCTTTCCTCCCACCCTTCCTTCTGGTTTTGTAAGATTGGGGGCTTGGCCTGGAGGAGGTAACACTCTTGACGTGATGATGAGGATCCTGAGCCCTGGCTTCAGACTCTGTTGGGGTTGCATCCTGACTTGGCCGTTTGCTCGTACAGGGGCCTTGGGAAGTGGTGACCTCCTGTGAGCCTCAGTTTCCTCATTTTGGGATGGTGACTGTCCCCTTCTGCTGTCATGGGGACTAAGTGAGATGGCGCATGGTAGAGCACTTTGTGAGCTGAAACTAGAGATCATTTTATGTTGTTCTCTTTCGCCCAGACACTGTTTTCCCTTAATGAATTGGTGGTTTTCTTGGGGAAATGTCACAGACTTTGTTGAGAGTCTGATGGATGTTCTGGACTCTTTCCCAAAAAAGGGAATGTTCACCCCAAATTGTATTCGGTTTCAGAGGACTCAGGACCTTCTATAGCTCCTTGTCTGTGAACTCCAGAAGAAAACCCTCCCAGATGATTGTGACCTCCTTTCTACAGAGACCCCGCCTTATCTTCCCTCGGCACCCTGCTGTCCCTTAGCTGAGGCCAGGGTGCGTGGAGGAGCCCTCCTGAGGACTGTGGGATGGGTTTTATTTTCTTCCTCTGCTCCATTCACTAACATGCAGCCTACTACTTGCTTGGCCCTGGTGTTGCTGCCCAGAACACACAGCAGGAATGCTCTTCAGGGGTGAGTTGCCCTGGGAGTAGGGAAGATCAGTCTTTGTCTTCCTGGCTGGGTTATTTTAGGAATGAGAGAGGGATAAAGGAGGAGGGAGACCCTGGGATCTCAGGAATGACCAAGCTCCTGTGTGTTGATGGCCTGCTCTGTGCCAGGAACTGTCCTAGGTGATTTGCAGTCATCTCTGATCCTTACAAGATCACACCCACAACAAACCTGTTGGGTGGATGCGGCCCTCACTGTCTCTTACAGATGAGGACCCTGAGGCTGAGAGAAGTTAACTGAGCAGGATGAGAGGCCGCGGCGGGAGTCAGGACCAGCCTGTCTCGGTCACAGAACGTCTCTGTGCCGTGCTGTTTCCTGAGACAGAGGCATCCTGCGAGGTGAACAGCAGCTTCACACCCTTTGCTGTTGATAAAGGAAATGCTTTTCCTCCTGGGGCCCAGACATCCGCAGATGGCAGCTTTGTTATGGGCTCTAGATGGCCTTTGCAGTGCTGAAGTGCAGATGTGTATTTTTAGAAAAGGAAGAGACTTCTCTGTCTACTGTTTGTGTACAGAGATGTATCAGTTTCTGAAGACTAAGGCCAGCTAAAGCAGCCAAATGTCTGCCGTGGTTGATGGCCAGATGCCGCTGGCCGATCTCCTGGCTGGCTGATATTTGCTGTGATGGCCTGAGGGGCAGGACTGACCCTGAAGGGGCAGGTCTCTTTTCTTAATAGGCGAAGTGCTGTGTCCCCACAGGGACCCGTGTCTACTCTTCCCTGCCGAGTCTGGACTTGCCCCTTCCTTGGCTCTCGGAGTGTTGGCGACTGGTTAGGCGACATCCTTCTCTTCCGTTTTCCTATTAGTGTTTTCTCCTTTTTATCTCCCCACCCACTGGCCTTTTCCCCCATGTAAGACCAACTGCATTTTAAGTTCTTGTTATTGTCAAAGAGGTGTTTATGTACCATGCTGAGAGTGATCACCTAATTCCTATATAGAACTGGTTTCTTAGAGTTCATGGGGCCAAGCTGCTACCCCTGGAAGCCAGGACAGTGCACGGTGATGTCGGGGTCCCTCTGTGTCCCCATCGTCTGCCCACATTTGGAGCTGACACACACAGAGCGCTCCTTATGTACCAGGCAGTGGCTCCATGGATTATCTGGCCACTGCTCCCATCAGCATTCTGATGGTAGTTGTGGGATTATCTGGATTTTCCAGATGGGAAGACTGAGGTTTGGGCGGGCCCGTGACCTGCCATGCCGGGGTGGTGCCTACACTCAGAGCTGGGAGCTGAGGTGCGTGTGTGAGGCGAGGCTGAACCAGCTCAGAGGGAGAACTGTGGGGTGGGCCACCCTGAGGCCCGCATCCTTGCTCCCGGGAGGCTGTCCTTTGGTGTGGCACAGGTGAGCCAGAATTGCAGGTCCTCTGGAGGATTAGTCTCCTTGACCTTCTTGGCGCTGACAAAGAGGATTTGGATGGGATTTCCCTCCAGTGAGGATTTTGTCTTAGTGAGAGTTGTAGAACTGGACCTGGTGCTCTGGGGAGGCACTGTGTCATTCCTGCCCACCCCACTGCTGTGACCTCCCACACCCTTCCCCTTTATACTCGGAGCGAGCACTGCATCTGAAAGACACTGTGGAGAAAGAGGACACGTTTTGTGCTGCCCTGTGAGAATCTGTATATAGAATGTTCAGTACCTGCTTTAAAAATACGTCCTTCTCTTAATTTAGTTTAGCTGATACTCTTCATTCTTTTCATTTCATTCATTCATTTATGCATTTATCCATTCTCTGTTGACTAGTATGATTAAAGCATGCGCATATGCCAGTAATTCTCCCTTAAAGAATGGTGACCTTTCTGGGAACAGAGAGACCCAGTACCAGTCCGTGTGCTAAGGACTTTTTCTGTATTATCTCAGAGGAGCCCTGTGAGGTAGGCAGGGGACTGAAGAAAAGAAGGGCAGCGGGGCCTGGTGATTGAAGGAGGTCCTGGGGGGTAGATTGCCAGAGAGAGAACCTCTGCTCTGGTGCTTGCCGGCTGTGGACATGGGCAAATCACTCAGCCTTTTTGATCATCTGCTTTCTCATCTATGAAATGAGGATGATGGTGCCTGCCTTCATAGAATTTCGAGGATCGAAAGAGACAGTGTTTGTAAATTTCACACCATTTCTTTGGTATGTAGTAAGAAGTTCTTAAAAGGTGTCTATTTTTCCTTTTATTGTTTGTAGGCATTTCTGCAAACAATGTTTTAGGATCTGTTTTAAAGATCCAGAAACCAAGCCTTGGAGAGGCTGTCTCAGCCCAGGTTACAGTGAATACTGCAAAGGACGATAACATAATAACTGCCGTTGAATGCACAGAGTGCCATGAAGAGATTCCAGGGAGGAGAGTGGCTCTTGGTTTGTGTGAGTGGCAGGAGATGCTGCAGGCTGGGTGACATGGCATTGGGAGGACTTCATGGAGGAGATGACATTGGAAGGATTGGTCTATCTGGATGAGGGGAGACCAGGAAGGTAAACATTGTGATGGAGGGAACAGCAGGGATAAAGGCCCAGTCAGGAGGATAGGGTGGCATGTGTGCTTGTGCTGGGAACCCTTAGGTTCAGAGGAGAAGCAGGGCTGTGTAAGCCTCAGGAGCGTGGAGCCTGGGCTATGGCTCTATACAGAGTTTAGTCCAGCTGAAAGGCAGTGTCTAGAGGGGTAAAGCTTTAGTTGGTGAAGGGGAGTTGACTTGATGGAAAGGAATTTTGAACTTCAGTTGGCGAAGTTGATTTCTGCCCACAGTGCCTCCTGGGATTGTTTATTTCATCTGTAGAACACCATCCCTCTCAGCTGCCTTCCTTAAACTGTAAGTCACTCTAGACACTAGTTTTGGTTTTACCTGGACTGTGAACAGATACTCCCTGAGCTTTTGGTCAGCATTCTGATAGAAATAGGAGACTATAAGACTGGATGGCCAGTTCTGTCCCTGGGGTCATTTAAATTTGAGACTGTTGGAACTTGAGCCAAGTAAAAACTTGTTTGAAGTAAATATCGTGGGTGGCCCTGTGGTTTCCCCAATCATGTTTCCCTCTTTTACTCTCTCGCAGTTTTTCCTTATTTCCCATGGTCAAGTTCTCACCATAGGTAGTTCTCAAGTCTTAGCTCATCAGCCGAGGCAAATGCTTCTCACTTCCTGTAACATGGGGTTAGAGAATGTCGTGTGCAAATGAATCCCTGTTGTGTGTGCAGGGTGGATGCTCTCAAGGTGAGCACTTTGTGAAAGTGAATCTTGCCTGCAGTGCTTGCTTTGCAAGGTAAAAGATTGCTTTAGTTTTGAACACCTGTGCTCTGACACGATTTATTTAGCATTTTCGTCATTGGATTTTCCTGGAGCAAGATTGGAAGCTCTTTGAAACAGGGATCTGCTCTCTCAATATGTGGTCCAGCCTTGGCTTGTGGGAATTAACCAGTAGGTTTCTGATCTCTGGGCCAAGTAGTCCTTCCTTCCCTCCTGTTTGGTTTCTTGGCCTTACTAAAAAATGGCTGTCAGAGGATAAATAATTGGTGTACTGTATAGATCCCAGGAGCAATTAGTTGTCTTTGCACTAAATTGATTTTAAACTGGAGGTAGTGATCCAGATCATCTTTTTACTGATTGTCTCTGCCATGCTATTTATCTCTTTCATGCTAATTTCATTCCCAACTGCATCTTGATCTAAAAAAATGGTTTTATCACCATCCTCTCTGAGCCACAAACAGCACTTTAAAAGGAGGCAAAGGATGTGAATGAAGGTCTGCAGTTTTGAATAATGGTATGAAAGACTGAAACCATTAAAACAGGAGAACTTTCATCTTAGCTGAAGAAGCAGTTCAAATAGGTTTTCACGATGAGTAGGTGTGGACTCTGTCCACTCTGTAGTTTCCTCACCCTTGAGTGAGACAGGTTCTCATATAAAACAGAAGGAGCAACAACCAAACACAACAGCCCCCAAGTCACAAGACTTCAGAGCAAGTGAAGCAACTGCAGCCTTATCTTTTCTCTTCCCTCCCCAAACACTCACGTTGGTGCTGGCTTTGCTTTCAGAAAGATGAATGGTGCTTGGGAAGGAATGTGGGTTCATTTTCAAATATGACTCGCCTTGTGGTGTCTGAGTATCATAGGCACTATGGTTGGAGACACAGTTAATCAGTAGAGAGACTGGTCAGCCTTCTCTCCAGGGAAAACCTACTGATGTTCTTAAAGCTCTCTATCCCTGTTGCAATCCTCCTCCCTCTCTGGACACATGATCCATTGCTT